ATTCTCTCCTGGAGAACGTCTTCGTGAGCCTCTCATGATTTCAGGATAGTTGAAACCCTCTTGAACATTCAGAAAGAGTGCATATGAAATTCTAATTACGAAATGTGTTCTTGTTAAAATTCCATTCTCTCCTGGAGAACGTCTTCGTGAGCCTCTCATGATTTCAGGATAGTTGAAACCCTCTTGAACATTCAGAAAGAGTGAATATGAAATTCTAATCACGAAAGGTGTTCCCCGAGGGGATACATACCTAGAGTTTGGTTTGTGAATCACGTCAATTCTCTCCTGGGGAACGTCTTCGTGAGCCTCTTATGGTTTCAGGATAGTTCAAATCCTATGATGTTCCGATTCAATGCTCACCGATGATCTGAGCCATGGGGCAAGTTTGTTTTCCTAAGATTCTTTTGGAACATTTCGAGAGCATATAAGCCCCCCCTCTAAATTCAATTCTCTCCTCAAAAAACGTCTTCGTGAGCCTCTCATGATTTCAGGATAGTTGAAACCCTCTTGAACATTCAGAAAGAGTGCATCTGAAATTCTAATCACGAAAGGTGTTCCCCGAGGGTATACATACCTAGAGTCTTTTTTTGTAAACCACGTCAATTCTCTCCTGGGGAACGTCTTCGTGAGCCTCTATTCAATTCTCCGCTGGAGAACGTCTTCGTGAGCCTCTCATGATTTCAGGATAGTTGAAACCCTCTTGAACATTCAGAAAGAGTGCATATGAAATTCTAATCACGAAAGGTTTTTTTTTTAAAGGGGATACATACCATTACATACCTAGAGTTTGTTTTGTGAACCACGTGAATTCTCTCCTGGGGAACGTCTTCGTGAGCCTCTTAATTCAATTCTCTCCTGGAGAATGTCTTCGTGAGCCTCTCATGATTTCAGGATAGTTGAAACCCTCTTGAACATTCAGACAGAGTGCATGTGAATGAAATCACGAAAGGTAGCCCTTTAGGGGATACCTTGAGTTTGTCTTGCGAAGCAAGTGTTGGGACGTCCGGGTCTAATAATTGATCGCTCAATTCAGACCACCCCCCCCCC